TCCGTGGCCACAGCGCGGGACTACGTCATAGCTAGCTATGAGAATAGGATCCCCGTCCCCCATTTCCATCGCCTACTACTTCCGCCATGGGGATGCCATCATCCTACTCTACGTGTGTCCTCTGCTCCCTCCCAAACCCTAGCTGAGGCGCCACCGCCACCTTCAACTACAAGGCCGACATCAACGGCGACGACTTCTAGGCTGCTACGCGAAGGATGGAGGGCAACTACGATGCCTTCACGACCTCCAAGACTGACAACTTCGCCAAGCCACTCAAGGTTGCGGGCATCCCCTAGAAAGATCCACATCTGGGAAGCAAGGACCGGGCTGGCTCCGACCGGGACGGTGTCGATCATGCGGTGCCACAGGCCGGGAGGGCCGTGTGCTTGCCGGTCGGCAGTCATCCTGGCCGAGCTGCCGCCAGACCACCACTTGCTAGCGCCGCCGGATCCACCAGTCGCGAGTGCCATTGGGCCACCGTGCGCGTCGCCGCCAGATCCACAATCCAGTCGTGGGCGCCGCCGGGCAGGAACAGGCACCGTCGGGCCCCTCACATGCGGTCGAGCAAGGAGCGTCTCTCGAAAGGTCACCCTTCTACTTCTATTTCGGTTGATAAAAAGATTTATTAAATTTCGGAGTGTTTATCCCAATCAATGATAACCAATTTTGGTGCTGCTTTTGTTGATGCCAAATTTGATTGCCGAACCAGGTGTCTTCTCTCATGCAGAGACTGTGGGTGCACCGGTTTCTTACCAGCGACGTGATGCTCTGGAAGAGTTGGAAGAGGCTTCTGACCCTCATAAAGAAGAGTTAAACGAGATGGACGCACCAAAACAAGACCAAGATGAAGGTGAGACATGCACATGGTGTGCCTGTTTCCATTTATTTTCTGAAGCAGCTGCACGTTATAGCTATTTTTTAAACTTTTGTTTTTGTATTGAATTTTCAGACGTCGTTATCATTGAGGATGAGAAGCTAATGGAAGAGACCTCAGTAGAAGAGCCATCTATGACCAATCAGGAGTGTGCGGATAAATCGGAAATGCAAGAACACCAATTGGACGATGAGGAGTGTCATGCTCCCTTGGCGACCCCCGAGGTAGTTTCATTCCACACTAAAATACATATCATTGCCTTCGCTGATTGTTTACTTAGAAGGTCTGGCTAACTAGCAATATAAAATATATGTAACTTGAGACAACTGCAAAAACATCCTGAGCTTTGGTCCGATGTTTGTTGTTCTCATTTGTAAGACGATGGTGGTTTGCAAAATCGCAGATGTCAACCACACAACAAAATCGTGATGGGCAAAAGCGATAGTTTCTTAGGTTACTCAGTTGATATGAAGGGTATTGCCAACTCTTTCCTTCCGAGATCCGAATCAAATTTCGCATGATTATTTTTATATACTGTGTCCAATAAATGTCAAAATTCTTAATATATTTATTACTAAGATTCTTATGTTTGCTATGTGGTTCAAAGCGATAACACGATGTCAAAGGTGGTCTCATAGTTTCAATTAATACTGTCAAAATGGTTTTTGTGATGCGATTTCAAATATTATAGCTAAATTAGTGTAGAAATTGAAACTCCCCCGCCATTTTTTTCTTGAAACTCCCCGCCATTTATTACTAAGATTTTTATACAGTGAATGTGCTTATTTTGTCGACCCCTACGTTCTGACTGTTGGCCATAACTACTCATGTACAAGTGTCACTTATATTTCTTTTCAGAAATACAAGTGGGCACACTTGATCAGGAAAGATATCTTTTTCTTTTTTCTTTAGAGCACCATGCATTCTTCGGACAACCGGAATCTTCGGCTATAATCGTGGTCTACTGCTCTCTGTGCTGACCAGAATACTGGCACATTTGCTTAGTCAATGTTTCAACCAGTTGGAGATGATATGAGGACAGATTGCATTAGCCGAAGAAGATCAAACGACGTGTCGCAACATAATACATGGTGCTCGGGGACTAGCTGTGGGGGTATTAACCCCTATACCCTTACGGCTAGGTTTGGGCCGGCCCGGACCTAGGGGTATCATGACAAGGACATTGTGGAGAAACGTCATAATGAAAATTATATTAAATATAAATATTAGAAGTGTACTTATCTTTGGATAGAAATCTGGTCGATGGAGATAAAGTTGTCCGGTCCTTGTGCTTTTCGGCCTGTTGTGATGGTGGTCGTGGTTGTCATAGCGCCGTTCTTCGTGGCAATCATCATTGCGACGTGGTCTGGTGGTTGAGGTGGTCGGAGCTCGGCGGAGCCGCTCGGGACGTGGTCCGTGGTCGATGTGGTCGGAGCTCGGCGGAGCTGCTCGAGATGTGGTCGACGTGGTCCGTGATCGACGTGGTCGGAGCTCAACGAAGCCGCTCGGGACATGGTCAACGTGGTCCGTGGTCGACGTGGCTGCTCGATCAGTTCGGTGGTCGGAGGGCATGTACCTAGCTCCATCGCATGGGGAGGCAAAAGCCCTCGGACATGTCCAGCCGAGGTCGGGCGCAGTTGGAGATCTTCCTTGCTTGCATGAAGGTTACGGAGTAGCCTGATGGCAATTTAGTACATTGTATGTGGTCTTCATATTTGGAGTCGGAGAAGCACACGGAGTCCTTCCAGGTTGTCGCTGTACATTGTGTATGAATACATCCATAACACGAACACCCATAGTTGGCCCACTTGCTTGTACTCCGTCTTCTTGCATGGCTGCTTGACGTGATCTTCATCGTGCATGTAATGGCAAGCCATCATGCAAATCTGGTGTCGTAGCTCCATGTGGATGCCGCGTGGAGACCAAAAAAACTAGACGCTTGAGTCGAAACGGGACCATCTACGCCACCGGGCCGGACCGAGATCGATCCGATCGACTCTTGTGATATGTCATAGATGTTAGGGCTGCTGCTTGTCTTAGTGCACCGTTACTTCTTGATACTCCTCAATCCGAATCATGTTGACGGTTGCGTGGCTTTGGCCGAGGTCGATGTATAAAACATAGATCCGAGCAGGCGTTGTATATTGTATGCCGTAGTTGGAAGCAAAGTGTTTCAGAGGCCATAGGGCTGAGCCTAGTAATTCTCCATCAAGGCTTCGCACTCGGAGAGCTGGAGACCCGTTGTGGGGGCTGGTCGGCGACGAACGGAGCGCCCTTCAGGAGTAAACGTGACCACGAGATCCGCATCGAGTCGTGCGGGATGACCGCCCGAAAGCGGTCGGGTAGATCTGTTGTGGGGAGTGGTTACTGCTTTCGGTTGGTTGATTTTGAATCGAATCTACCAGAGCTAGGGTTTCAGCAAGCTTGGTGCTGACCTGATCGATGCAGTCAAGCAGGTCGGTGTTGTCAATCTGCCTCCCTTTGTAGCGAGGAAGTGAACGACGGGTTGTTGGCGTGGCTGAAGACGATGCTGGTGTGGCCAGAGCCAGATCCAACGTGGTCGGATCCGTAGCCGATGCTGGTGAAGCAGTGGTCGACGCAGATTGGATCTGTGCCTCCTCCGTGATCATGGCGATAAAGTTGTCGGAGCCAGTGGTCCAGGTGATCTGGCCGATGGTGAACGTGAGGCCGTTCGGCGTAGCCATAGAGCCAGGGATGATAACCATCTTGTTCGTTTGGGGAGCAGTACGCACACCCCCTACCTGGTGCGCCACTGTCGACGAAATATGGTCGGCAGTCTACCTAGGGGTATGCCCAAGGTAGTAGATTATCGGCAGACAGGTGCGCAAGCTACGAACGAGATGATGACGCAAGACAGATACGAGGTTTTATCCAGGTTCGGCCGCCGTGAGGACGTAATACCTACGTGCTGCGTCTGATTGTATTGCTATACTTCAACATGAATCGTGCTGATAGTTTCGCAAGGACATTATTATATAGGGAGTTCCCAGAACACTACCGGTGGATCAGTGGTCGCAAGGTGTGGCAGACAAAAAAGAAACAGCTAGGACAGATTGGAAGAAAAATATATATATAAGACATGAGGGAAGGTATGTTTGAAGGGTTATCATCAAGAAATGGCATATATACCTACATTCCACACTAATGCTAGAATGTTCAATCTCGCCATGGCACTATCAAATTTTAGGTGGAGCGAAAATATTTATTACTGGGAGCGAAATTACCCTAAATATGTAACAAAGGTTTCGGGTCATAAATACTGATAAGTGTCGCAAAATTTGGTTCAACTTTTCTATAAAAAACAGTAATTTGATTTATGTACATCAAATAAACAACTGATCTTCTCTGTCAGAAAATTAGGAGGCTTTCTTGTCTATAATTTCATGAAGTCGTGGGACAGCGTAAGATTGCCACGGATCACCACTATAAGCATATATAGTCTCCAACTATATTCCGTACACTACATACAATACTAACATATTATATTCTATACCATGCGCAGCTATCATCTACACTGAGGAAGGAATTCTTAGCTGACATTTTGACGAGTCCTGCAAACGAATGTTTCAACATCCCTGAAGATGTGCAATAAATGATAAAGGACTTACGCCAAATATAACTTAGGCTATAATGTAATAATTGGGTAAAGGTTAACTACAAAATAACAAATTGGATATTTTTATGATCATTCTCTAGATAAAACCATTGCGTTAGCACGGGCGTTATACTAGTTTGTTATAAAAAAAACTAAAGGAAACAAGGGGACGCTAATGTAAATACTACTATGATATTATACAGTATCGTTGACAACGACATGCCTCTCAAGATCTGTCAGGTCAGTATTCTGGGTGTGTTCAAAGGGTAAATATATGTGCATGTGTTTGTAAGGATTAGTGTGCGTCCAAGCGTCTGCGTCTTGTACAGTTGTACTGAGATTCTCAGAATAAAATTGCTACGTAGAATCCAAGCTAGAAGGCAGAGAGAGGGGGCACCGTATCTGGCCCTTTTATTATTTTCATTCACGTGTTCCTCTGTTGCAAACAAACCTTCTCAAGCATTACATACAAGGCAGAAAATGCATGGGACCAAGCAAAGCTGAACATACCGTCGTGTAGAACGCGTAGTGCGAGAGGATCTTGATGACAACGAAGGTGATTTTGAGGGGGAACCACCACCGCGCCTTGTTCCACCGCGTCATCGCTTGCTCTCGCCGCTCCACTGGCATGTCCGCGAACTTGCGGACGTAGGGGAACTTGCCGGAGATGCAGAGTCGCCCACAGAGAGCCAACGTGCCCACCTTGGTGCTCAGGATCCAGAGCACGACGTTCACCAGCACCACCGCCTCCCAAACGCATCGAGTGACCAGCTCCGCGACCTTTGATTAATTTCGTCCCACGCATGGATCATCGGCGATTCGATCGGCGCCGATCGATGTGAGCTAGTAGCTCACCTCTTCGGGGATGGTACCGTCGGCCGCAGAGGCGAGGTAGAACCGCTCGAGATCCTTGCGGCCGCCGCCGTCGCTGTCGCCGTGGATCCGTTCCGCCGTCACCGGCAGGGACGGAATGAGCGCGCCGCACATGGTGCGGAGCGCCTCCATCTGCGCCGGGTGCAGCCCGTGCGTGTACCTCTCGCGCCTGCACCCCGCAGCAGTGGGTGGCCCTCCTCCGACGCCGTGTCGCCGCCGCCTTCGCCTCCTCCTGCGCCGCCATTACCAGCTGCTACTAGCTGGCGTGTGCCGAGATCTCTCGTGTAGTTTGCCTTGTAGGAGGACTGCGGGAATGTGTGCTGACGCGTGACGCGTGACGCGTCTGCGTATATATGGAGGCACTCGTTTTCAGTTTGCTGCACTCGTTTAATTTTCACAGTGACAAGACAATGACAGTGTTGTTGGGGAGGCAGCATCACAGTTAATACGACTCCATCACCCAAATTAAGCCATGGCAGCGACTGATCATGCTTGGTAGAAGTTGCACCTGCGCATAATGACTTAATGAGCGATGGGGCACAAGTTTTTGTTTCTAGGAAAAATACTACTTACGGGACATCTGCGGAGATATCACAATCTATTGTACGTGCCCTTCCCAAATACAGTAAATTCTACGGCTTTTCCTAGCAGGTGCTGGAGCTAAAGAAAGATGGTGGATGGTGTAGCACTTCATAATCATAATCTATTGGCCGTTGGCTAGTATATATACAGTTAATATTCTAATTTCATACGTCCGTTTCAAATATGGTCTAGCTTCTATACTATACTAATATATAAAAACTCAAGTGTTGTTGCAGTTTAACACTTGAAATTTTTAAATCGCAACGCTCCCTCGTTTCCCACGCCCGCATCGCTCATATGCCTCGCCCTGCCTGCACCACCATCTTGCACATAGGGACTGCATGTTTTCGCTCTGCTTCCCGCGTGCAGCAGGGACCACCTCGCCCCACTCCGTATCATGCACGTGGGGACCGCCGGCGTCTGCTCTGTATCGCGCTCACACCCCTGCCCACGGATGTGCGCCGTGTGACTATGGCTGTCCTATTCAACGCTTGAAATATGAAAAACAAAACCTTGCTGCAACATACGTCTGAAACAGATGAAATATTTGAAACAAACTCGTGCAACATCTATGTGAAACATATGCAATATACAGATAAAACACTTGCAACATGCATCTAAAATGGATGAAACATTTCGAACAACATTTGCAACATCTGTGTAAAACATATGCAACATCCAGATAAAACACTTGCAACATACGTTTCAAAAACAAATGAAACATTTCGAATAAACGCTTGTAATATACGTGTATAACCATTGCGATATGTGCAACATCCTGATCTACTTTTGCAACATCTATATGTAACACTTGCAACATACCTCTGAAATATCTGAAACACTTAAAACATACGCTTGCAACATGCGCTTCTTCCTGTCTTGGTGTCTTTGGTGAACCGCAGGAGACGATGTCCCGGCCGGCGACGACCTTCACCTGGTGGCATTAGGGTGGTGGTGGTGGCGCGGTGCACGCCGTGGCCATGATAGGCGAGCATGCAGTGGGGCGCAGCGGTGGATGGTCACGGCGGAGAGGTAGAGTGGGGCGGCGAGGCAGAGTGGGCGGCATGATGCATGATGGATGTGCGCGCGGGGAGATGGCTACGGCCGCGGGGAAGAGTGGCGCGACGCGGCATAGGATGGAGGCACGCGCGAGGAGATGGCTACGGTGGCGATGCGGATTGGGGCGAGCGGATGGTCGGACGGTGAGGTGAAAGCACGCAATGAGCGAGCGGAGTGGGGAGATATTTTTGAGAGAGATGAGGAGTCGTAGAGAGCAGGCAGGCCTGTTGGGCCGGTAGCGGTAGCACACAGACCCGTCAAGGAGCGTCCGGGCAGAAAGACGCCCTGACTGAAGGTTCACCGATACCCTAAACATATAATCGCCATAAAATGTTCTCTTATAGAGTTTCTCTATATATTTTTAGTGAATAGTTTTCCTTGTCTTTATTCCTCACGAAATGAAGCCCAAACAAGATTCAATACAGCGTATTCGAGGGCGCCTGCCAAAAGAGTCCAGATCTAAACTACTAACCACCTGAAAAGCTATATATAAAGAAAGGTTTAAGCCCCTCACATCAGATCTTGCCGCACCTACTGGAAGTGCAGCTCGGTACGGTGTTAGGTATTTAGTCCCCATTGAGCTTGTTACGCGTTGTGACACATCCCAGGTTATCCTCAATAGTTCTCTTGTTCTTGACTCCAGTACACTAATGTGCAATTCCAGCTCTTCCCATTCATGTTGCTTGAAGAGCGGGGGTGCCATCTTCTTAGTGTTCTTGTTGTAGCTGAAAGCACCAACCTAAGGAGCCCTCCAATATTCTCCCTAAAAATATAAAGTACTTTGATTTTTCCATAAGACCCAAAGCAAGGTTGCACAAAAAACATTTCTAAGGAAATGTTTCTTGCCTAAATCCACCATTTTACCACAGATTCATAGTTTGCTCCAATATCACAGTTCAAACATGAGATATAACTTTCCAAATATTAGAGGCTACACAGTAATCAAAGAAGATATGATGTATTATTTCCACTTCAGAACAAAACAAAGAAGAAATGTCATTTACCAATCTTCTCTTTGCTAAATTGTCTCTAGTTAGAAGACGATTATTACCTACGAGCCAAAGAAAAATGCGCACCCTAGGAGGTATACAGATCTTCCACACAGGAAGTGTGTACACAGGGGTATATAATGCCTCTATAGGAAACTATGGCATAGCAAGATTGGACAGAGTAATAACCTCTAGATTCATATGCCCAACACATGGTATCACATTCTTCATGAAAGGAAATAGATTCCGCTATAGCTTCTAAATCAAACCAGAGATTCATCATTTTAGGGGAGAAAGACCTCCTAAAAGTCAGCTTTGGGGTCTCCCCATCCCAAAGTTTAGAGATGGTTTTGTTAACTTCATAAGTAACAATGTAGATAAGCCAAAACTGGATGGCTAGACTAGAGTTACCAAACCAAAAATCTTCCCCAAAACACTTTTTCTTATCATCTCCTAGTATCCCTTGTAACCTATCTTAGCAGCCTTAGCCTCCCAGATAACCCATTTCCAGAAAGGGGTGGCATTAAAGTCATAGCAGGAGAAAAAAAATTCGGGTTAATGTTAGATTTCTCATCAACTACTTTCTTCAATAGAGAGTTATCACTTGAGTGATACCTAGCAACCCAGGATGCAAGCAAGCACAAATTGAGGCAACAAAGATTTGTTATGCTGAGCCCCTGATATTCTTTATTTTGGGCTATCAATTGCCAACTTGCTAAATGATATTTGTGACCATTGTCTTGATTATTCCAGAAAAAAGTGACCCATATGAGAGATGAGAGTTTGTAGCTTCTACTTCCCACTTGGGAAACTTAATGACGGACATCAAGTAAATTGGAATATTGGGCAAACAAGATTTAAATAAGGCTAGCTTCCCCCATATAAGAGGAGCCTATGCCTGTAACTAGTAATTCTCTTAACTATCTTATCTATTATTGGTTGTCTGTCCTCTCTTTTGAGCTTAGCAAAATGAAGGGGGATCCTAGATATTTAAAAGGGAAGGTACCTCTTTCACAATATAAAAGCCTAGAGAAGCTATTTGCTTCCTTCCCAATATCAATAGTCAACAAGTCACATTTAACTTTATTGATTCTCATGCCTAATTGTCGGGGTCAACATACCCCAGGTATCTCATGGCACCGATTAGTTGCCCACTCGGGCGGCCCAACTAGCCATGGTACAGTATCTACGGCCCACCTAAGCCATCCAGGCCCTGGGCCGGACACCAAGACAAGCGGTCTACCATGACCTCTCATCTCTCCTTCCATTGCACGATATGCAGCCGCACTCGACCTCTCCCTCGTTTCGACCCCTGAGGAGAGACAAGGAGGGGTTGGGCTCCATCAAGTACGCCAACCCTAACACGGACATGCACGCTCCACTCACACCGCTAGTACTAAGGGGACGACCATCTCTCACGACATGAGATCTCAGGGCAGATGCCATCCCTGCATGCCCCTGCACAGACAAGACAACAAGGTACGGTGCAGCATCGACCAAAGTCAGCCTGACAAGATCGATGGGCGTACGGCCCCACCCGCTATGGGATGGGGCGCATGACTCCGGCCTTGACTTCACAAGACCAACCAGACCACCAGGGGCCTCGACCTAGCCACCCAGGGTCGAGACCCATGGCACCATGACCAGGAAAGGCGACCAATGACCCGAGAGCAGCCACTTGCTCCCTCATTGTCGCCACGGCACCATCAGTAGAATAGGAGACGATGACGAAGGCCACGGTAAGATCATGTTGTGCAGGACAAGTTGGTGAACCACCATCGTGCCAATAGTGCCGCCATGACTAACACTGTAGCATCATGCCATGTCAGGTCACGACGTGGGAACAAGACCACAACGACCACGACAATGACTATGCCTGGACGTACGATGAGGCCAAGACAAGATAACATGGATTATTGGCCAAGTTTACCCGCTTCTCCCTCCCTCGGGTCTTGACCACTCGGGCCGAGAGAACCCATCTCTCTACATGTAACCTGGCCCTCGAACTCTATATAAGGGCGGTCAGACCTCCCTTCCGGGGGGACGAACTCTCGAGACTTCATTTGGCCTTTCATTCACCTCACCCCTCCTACCTTATTCCCTTAGCTCACACACCCCTATTGTAAGACTTCAGAGCACTTAAACCGAGGAACACAGACTCAAACCACCTCTGAGATTGGACGTAGGGCTTCGACCTGAACCAGTATAATTTCTTGTGTCTTTGAGTGCTACAATCATCTTCCTAGAGTAGCGCAACTCACGTATAAATTCACTAGTCGACTTACAAAACACCGACACTGATAAACTTTCAAAGCAGTCTAAGAGTCACTTCAAATTCCAAGCCTTGACTATGTCATTTTCTAAGATGAGTATAGTATCATCAGCATATTGCAGGGATACTATACCTCCGATTGACATTTGGCATCAAACCAACAATTAAACCATTATTTGCTACTTTGTTGAGGATTTTGGTGAAAACGCCAATGACCAAATTGAAGAGAA